CTGGTAAGTCTTCTACCCTTTGCCAATGGATCCTTGTTTGGGTTGAGGAATGCATTCAAAATTTAGGAAGTCTGCAAGTTGGCCCTGACTTTTATTTTCCCCTCCACTTTCTTGTGTGTCCTCACAGCATGTGCAAAAGCCTCAAATTCATCTAGGGACCTGCAGAAAACTGGAGTTGGTTGTTTCTGGTTTCTTATGAGCATGCATGCAGCCTTGCACATGTGTGCATCCTTCCAGACTGCCAGGGATATGTGGGAGATTATGAAGGCCCACTATGATCATCTTATTCACAGGATCTCCCTCAAAATTTTACAGCTAGTTTGCAGATATGTTGCTTGCTCCATCAGTGTTACATCCTCAGGCTAGCTGGGAAGTTAACTTTTCCCATTTGTTTGCCTTTGAGTTTGCATTTGTTTTCAACCATGCCCCCAGGTTTGGATTTTTTCCCTACTCCTTTCTAAATCAAGTTAGTCATCTTTAGCTTCTGATTGTCATGGCTTTCTCTGCCCTGGTAGAACTGCACTGAAGGTACTAGACATGTGGAGGAGGTGGGAGCAGCCTGGGTTAGAACCACAGCTGTGCGTACCCCAGGTTCAGTAGTTTTTCTAGAATAAACAAATAAACTTTATTTGTTATATGCTTTTGATCCATTTCCAGAGTCTCAATATGGTTGTTTTGAAAATATTGTCCAGTTTTATCATTCTTTTAGAGGGAGAGGATTAGCCAAGCTCCTCACACCACCGTTGTGGAGGTTCCTCGTGCTGGAAAAATTAGGGGGTCAGAATTGCTGCAGCACCACGTTGTCTGCATGGTCTTATGATGCATTATGAATAGTCTCAATTTCCTGAGGGATTAATGTCACAAAACTTTGACAGAGACCTAGTTGGATGTTCAAAAGGGCATTGGAGGCCTACTGGGTGGTGTTGCAGGATGAACAAAGTGCTCAAATTTTAGCTCACATCTGCCCAACATGGAGAGGTAGTGGGAGAAGACCCACATGTCACTCAGAGGTTACCTAAAAGGCTGGCATTCTGGAATTGTTGGCTGACCAGCCACAGCAACATGGTACCTCAATGAATTGATAAATAAATGAGCTCTGACACATCCATTACTGAGTTTGAGATTTGCAGATACGGCAGGTAACTTTGAGTGGACTACGTCATTATCAGATGACTGGCCTCCTGAATGTTACCTAGATGTAAACATGATACAACTTTTACTAATGTATATCATGGAATTCAGTGCGTAATCATATCCAAAAATATGTTTTGTTCATTTTTTAAGGAAAAACATATACTTAAAACAGAGAAACAGGTTTTAATGATATTTGCGAAGTTTTGTGCTATGAAGTACATGTGAATTCTGTCCTTTTTTCAGTTCCTCAGACGGGATATACTCCCTCTGTTTAGCCAGTGTTTGCATGTAGTGTGTTCTCTTTTCCCAGTTAATTCCTCATCTTCCCTCAGAATGCAGGTCTGTCTTCACTTTCTGGGAATCTTTCCTTGGTTTCCCTGAGTTGGTCCATTCCTCTTATCATTTGTTATCATAGCACCGTGTGTTTCTAAATTCAGCATTTATGACAGTATGTGTTCAGTCATACGAATCTTTTAATTGACACTGAACTCCACTGGAACAAAGATTGTATCCCAACTTCCCTACTTTTAATTTGCTCTACGATGATATTCTCAATTCTTAGTAACAAACCTGAAATATAGCAAGTGCTCAATAAATATCTATTTATTGAATGAAAGAATGAATAAGTGAACAAACTTTAAGAGACTTGAACATTTTCTAAGAGACAGATAATAATGTTTATTAAATTTAACTTAAAAATCAAATTTGAAAGAAAGAGACAGATTTGTAGATGTCTACTTTTCTTTCTGTAGCACCACGTGCTTGGCAGGTTCCTTGTAATCCATAACGCCCACTTGCAACAACCCATGTGATGTGAACCACCCAGAATATGACCCAAACCGAACTGTGCATCTCAATACCATCCATCCCACATCTGTGTTGTCTCCCTTTGTGAGTGGCTCCACTTTATCTCCTCCTGGTCACACTTCTTTGCTTAATCCTGATTGCCTCCATGCTATCCTTGTTATTTTCACTCCTCTCCATTCTCACCCCTACTGCCGTTGTTCAGGTGACCGAAGTCATCTGTCATCGTTGGGAAATTTTCCTAAATGCCATTTTAGCCACATCACTCTCATGTTTAAAATCCTTCACTTGCTTGAAAAACAAGACAATTCTTCAATATAGCGCACATAATCAGGGCTCAGCAATTTCTCCTGCCTTGTCTCTTTTCTTTTCTTTGGCTCCTAAGCTTCAGTATCCACTTCCCTCTTATAGGTTTCTGTACATCTTGTACCTGTCTTAACACTAACTTTCTAGTATGTTTTACTAGGTGGTAAGGCAAATACTCTCTCCAATACTCTTTAGCAAAGACATGTAGGATCTTATGCTTTTATTTTTTTCAGATAAAATTTAAAATAAGTACGTCAAGTCTACGTAAACTTTTTGTAGAACTAGAAGGCTGCTACTCAAAATACACCTCTGCCCTCCTCCACCATTTTGTGCATGTGATGCCATGGATTCTTCAGTTTCTAGCAAGAACAAAGGAGATGCTGTTGGGGGTCTAGTTGCCTTAGTCTCTGATCTGCTTCTCTTGCAAGTACAGTGTCTGTTTCCAGACTGAAATATCTCCCCAGGCAAACATATCACTCTGCTAAGAGAGAATTTCTCGGGTTACTGTCATGCGACTAAATGCTGTTGCTGCCTGAAACTCAATAAAACCGGTGTTAACAAATAGTTCTCTAATTAATTATCATATTTTGAATGTTTTCATTTATATTTACAATATTTGCAGATATCCTCTTATAGTCTTATTAGTTTCCTTCTCCTTATGTTTTGGGCTGTGTATTTTGAAGCCACTTCATCTGCTTTCTTCTTTGAAGGACTTTAAAATTTCTCTTCAGCAGTTATCATTTCCAGCATGATAATGAATTTATATATCACTTTTTTAACACACATTTTTAAATATTTTAAGAGTTTTGGAGATATGAGCTCAATGTTTATGCTCTCTACCACCTTGATTTAATCTAGTTTTCTATAAACATCATAATTTAACCTATTTTTCAAACTGATTCCATTTTATATTGTGCTTTTATGATAAGTAAGATACAATTTGAAATAAATAATTTCTTTCCTTTCTTTTCATCTCCCTCCCCAGGTTTTGGTGAAGTAATATGGAACTTAATTCTTTGATTATTATTAACTTTTTTCTGAAATATTAAATAAGTGTGTTAAAGTTTACAAGTACATTTTAAACAATTATTTAGAGTTAACTATATATTTTAAAAATAATTTTAGACCAGTGTTTCTTGCATCATTTCTTGAGTTCTTCATTCAGGTTAATTTTTGGTTTTATTCAGATAATTTGTTTCATAAAGGAGGGAGATACGTGGCATATTCTTTGAGTTGGTAAGTGTTCAAATATGGATTAATTTTGCCCTTGTCAGAGAATAATAATTTTCCTGAATAAAAAATGTTAGAATTATCTCATTACCTCAGAATTCTGAAATGTTTTCCTGTGGCATTGCACATGAGGTATCTGAAACCAATGTCATTCTCTTCTTTGTAAACAGCCAGTATTTGTCTGAAACTTTGTAAGATTTTTCTTTATCCTTGGAATTCAGAAACAATACTGGGATGAGACTGAGTGTGGACCTTTTTCAATAACTTTTATCACTATTCTGTGAGTCCACTGTGTAATAAAAGTAGAGGTTTTAGCTTAGCTTTTGTTTTGTTTTCTCCAAAGGACTTCTATCTCTCAAATGTTAGTGTCTGGCAAATTTCTTGGCACTAGGTGGACTCTGACTGCGTGTTACTTGAATGAATATATGAAAACCAAACAAAGGAATGGCATTTAGGCTGCCTTCAGGCTGCCACAGCAAGCATCAACACAAAGAGCAAAAATAAAGACTCAGCACAGTAATTAATTCTCCCATGAAGACTCCAGTCCCCTAGAGTCACTTCCCTGCCTCCAAAGAAATTCCTCTCCAGTGATACCCCTCCAAGAGGACACCAGTGCTCCTAGATCATGAACTATGAAGGGAAGTTTGCCTGATTGTCCTTCATACCCAGAATGAAGCTTACCCACTAACCTGTAGACACACTCAACTCATTAGGAGTAGGAGTGGGAATCCAAGGCCCCTGTGTGTTCCTTCCAGATCCACTCACACAACATGAGTGAAAATCTACCTGCCTCCCAGTTCACCATTTCCAGGTCAGGCCCACTCATGGACCCTCTCAACGGTAACAAAGGAAACTGAGAAAAAGGACATTTTCTTTAGATTATCTGATAACCTGTATTGCCACTGTTTCTCCTTTTTCACTATGGATTATGGGGATTTGCCTGTGAATTATACAGCTATCCTCAGGATGCATAGTATCTTCTGATAATTATTTTGAGAAGAGCAGAATGAAGAGACAGAGGGGAGACTGAGGGGACAGAGAGAGCAGGCAGGACAAGTGAGAAGAGTTAAAAGTAGACTCCACAGGAAAAAATAATGGGTAAGTTGAGAAAGACAGGGAAAACCAAGAAGAGAGAGAAAGAAAAGCCAGGAAGCTGATGGGAGGAGGAGAAGACCACAGAGAGATAAGGAGTGGAGAGACTGCTGGATAAGCCATTGGGCACATTTGAGGACTTTCCATCACTTCTTTTCACAGAAGAGAACATTGATAACCTAAGTGTGCACTTGATTTTTGCAAGGCCAAAATGTACTAAATTTTCCAGTCAGCCAGACCACAGACTGCAGACTTTGTCATAAGCCAAGACTCCTTTCATAGTAGTTGGCACAACAAAGGTGGTTAGGACGATGCAGACAAGAGCAGGCAGAAAACCTGGAAGCCAGATAGTGGGAGAGGTGGAGGGGAAATGAGAGACCCTGTGGGAAGCCTGTGTCTGAGTGGAGTTTCTCTGACAAGGAAGTGGGCAGAGGGAGAGGTTTATCTGTTTGTATGGCAAGGGAAGTCAGATGAGAGTGCGAGAGGGTTTGGAGGGGAGCCAATATCTGAGTTCTGAGGGCAACTTGTCCTTCTGAGGCATTCTTCACCTAACAGAGCTTCAATGCTGCTCCTGCTACTTCTGCTCTTCAAGAGACTTCTCTGCTATGGAGCAAGCACAGTGGGTAAGAAGAGCCCAGGTGGAAAGATACTGAGGTTGGGCACAGCGGGGTGGAGAAGTTCTGGGGAGGACCTGGGGGGAGAGAAAAGTGCTCCTACAGCATGCCCTTGGAGTCTGCATGCTAGGTTACTTCCAGGCAAAGTATCCTTGCCTCCAGTCTCAATTTCTCTCTCTGATTTTGGGGAGAGGAGGCTGGCCTAGGGGGAAGGGGACATGAGCATATATGTAACCTGTGTAACTATCTCCATCCTTTCCCTCCTATGTAGGCTGTCTTCTCCCATCCTTTCACACTCTATCCGCTGGTCATTCTCTCTTTCAGCTCCTCTGCACCTAGGATTCCATCATCCAGCATCAGAAGAGCCCCTCTCCTACTGCTTCATCCAGATCTCCTCCTTTGCCAACCACAGCTGGGCACAAACCCAGAGTTCAGGCTGGCTGGGCGAGGTGCAGACTGAGGTCTGGGACAGTGTCTTGGGCACCATCTGCATTCTGAGGCCTTGGTCCCAGGGTAACTTCAGCAAGGAAGAGTTGAAGAATCTCCAGGCACTATTGCAGTTGTATTTGCATGGTTTCACTAAGCAAATACAGGCCTTTGCCAGTCAGTTTCAGTTTGAATGTGAGTTTCTTGTTCCAAGCTGGTATTTACCTGAGGGCTTTGACCACCTGCCAAAAGGGTAGATGGTGTATGGGCTCTGACTGTCATCCAACCTTCCTGACCTTATTTCTTGTCGCCTTTGGCTCATGCTCTCTCCTCTGATTCACGCATCACTACCATTCCCACTCTTCTCCCCACCCTACTACATACACAGAAGGGCCTACAAGTACATATCTCTTCACACCCCTGAATATACCCTCATTTTCTGGATCCTTGGAATAGTTGTCTCCTTTTGATCTTCTGCTCTCCATCCCTGGCCTTAGAAACAGCCTTTCCACACCAAGACTCTGACCCCCTTTCTCCCTGATCTGAGTGTTCCCATGGCCTGGCCTGGAACTAGCCACTCCCAAGTGGGCTTTTCGAGACCCGTCTCCTATCTTCCTAGCAGCCTTCCTATCTAGGCGCTCCACATCAATTATTTCCAAATTCCTTTACTACCTTCACATTTTCTTCCCACAAATTTACTTCCTGTTTCCCTCCCCAACTCTAGTCTCCCATGTGATTCCCCAGAAAATTTTCCATCCTTTGAATCTCTTTACTTTCTAGGTTGTTTGCTTTCCCTCCCTGGAATTCTTTCCATATTGATTCTCTCTTCCTTGTCCACCCTCAGACCCCTTTGAGCTCCAGATATTATCTGGCTGTCAAATGCATGCTGGGAAGGCCTCAGGAAGCTTCCTATATGGGGCATATCAAGGATCAGATTTCCTGAGTTTCCGAGGAAATTCCTGGAAGCCATCTCCAGGAGCAGGGAGTCAGGCTCAGAACGTCTGTAGGGTGCTCAATCACTACCGGATTGTTAAAGAAATTGTGCAGAACCTTCTCAGTGACACCTGCCCTCGATATCTGGCAGGCCTCGTTGAAGCAGGGAAGTCAGATCTGGAACGACAAGGTGAGCCCAACCCTCTTCCTCCTCCTATTCCTAGTGCTTTAACTCTTGTCTTTGAGTTTTTTGCTCTTTATCACCCTTTTGAAATATGTAATAAGAGGCCAGAGGGTGAGGTGTATGAGTTTAGAATTGTTTCTGAGACAAGAGAAAGAAGTGATTACTCAATCTGCTAAGGCACCCTGAGTCACTGAGCTCTGGCCTAGGGTGCCCCACTAAATTCCATTTCTCCACATCTTCTTGTCTCTAGTGAAACCAGAGGCTTGGGTGTCCAAAGGCCCCAGTCCTGGTTCTGGCCGTCTGCTGCTGGTGTGCCATGTCTCTGGCTCTGTGGATGCGGGGTGAGCAGGAGCAGCCAGGCACTCAGCGAGGTGACATCCTGCCCAATGCTGATGGGACATGGTGTCTCCGAGTAACCCTGGATGTGGCGGCTGGGGAGGTGGCCGGCCTGACTTGTTGAGTGAAGCACAGCAGTCTAGGAGGCCATGATCTAATCATCCACTGGGGTGAGAAAGGACTGGGGCCCAGCTGGGAAATTATAGTCTTCCTATAGTGCTAGGGCTAATGAGTGAGGAGCTTGGGGAATGGGTAACAATGCTATGAACAAGAGGATAAAAGTGGGAGAATCCAAATAAAGAAGGGTGGAGAACTACAGCAGTTAAATTTCAAGACAAGGGAAGTAGGACATTAGAGGTACTAAAGAGAAAAGAAAGAAGGACCTAGTAATTTGAAGAAAGAGAGAGGGAGGGGGGCGATCAAGGACATAGACTCAGGAGGAATTGAAATGAGGGTTCTGGAAAGTACACATGAAAACTCTGGAAAGGCCCCGTCCCTGTGAAATGAGAATCATTAACAGGTAGAATAGAAAGTGCTTTATAGATTTACATCCTTATTTTATCCCCAACCAGATGGATACTCCATTCTCCCGATATTGATCTGTTTGACTGTAATAATTACCCTGGTCATGTTGGTTGTAGTTGACTCATGGTTTAAAAAGCAGAGGTGAGCCTGTTTCTTCAACTTCTTATCAACTCATTCTTCTTTCCTCTATCTTCTTTTTTTTTTTCCCCTTTTCTCTCTGATTTGCCTTCTTTGAGATCAAGATTCTCTTCTTCTCCCACAGCTCAAATCAGAACGTCATTTCTCCCCATGAACCCAATCCTGTATTTTCCGTAAGAGCCAACATTCAAGACCCCAGGAGTCCAGGACATCAGCTCTGCTTGACACAGGAATTGTGGATCAAAAACAGGTTCTCGAAGAATTGGAAAACAAGCCTAAAGCAACTCTGGTGACATTAATTTTACCTTACACATATAATCGTCTTCTGCTTCTTCTCAAGGATGATTCATACCTGTGAATAAAATATGATTTTGTTAAAACAGCTTGCTCTGGCAGAGATCCTGAATGCTTTGGAAATTTTTTTTTCATCTTCCAGCAATATCTTTCCGCTTAGGCCACATGTTCACCACTATTGATCCTTCTTACTCTAATTCAGACGCCTCTTTCTCATGGAGGCTTCCCTGGATTGTGCAATTGAAAGCTTTTCTGTACTCTCAAAAGTGGACTGATCTTCCTAAATACACTCATCTTTTCCTACTTTGGACAGCAGTTATTTAGGTTTTTACTCTTCTTTGTTCTCTCAGTTGCTTGAAAGCAGGATTTAGGTGTTTGTACTTGTATCTGTGACCAAAAGCTTTACATGGATTCAGAGCCGGCTTTAGGGGAATGTGACTTGTGCAGTTGTTGCCATCTTGAAATTCTTAATAATCTTTGAAGAAGAGACACTGCGTTTTCATTTTGTACTAGCCCCACAAATTATGTAGCTGGTTTGGCATGAATGAGATATTTCTTAATAAATGCTGACTGAAAGAAATTTATTGTCAAATTAAGTGATGTTGTCTTAATCCACAACCTCTCTGACATCTCTGTGTTATTTGGCTGTGTTCTTATCAACACTCGTCCTCTCTCCCTTTGTCTCTCATCCCAGGTGAAAGAGGCAGGTAAGTGCTTCAGACTTCACAGGAACTGGGATGTTTGTGCATCTTTAGAGATATTAAAAGACAATAAATAACATATGAGATGTCTCCTGTCAGAGTGAGGACGAAGTTGGACAGGCATTCCTACTTCTCTGAGATTGTTTGTGACTATGTGTGTCTTTGTGGATGCACGTATTCAGGGGAGAAATTAGTATTTGAGCAGTTAGGAAGAGGACGTGGGGACTGAGGATAATTTGGAGGAGCAGAGCCAAGGCAATGAAGGAAAAGAATGCTCAGATACCAGCTAAGCCATGTGTTTACTTTTGTTTATTATTTTGGTTTATTATTATTTAATTATTATTTATAATTTGATTTCCTCTTACTTTTTAAATATGGATTTTAAAATTATCTAATCACTTTAATTGAGATATATTTAATTAAGCCTGTTGGAGAGCAGGAAGCTGTTTAGGTGCAGAGTTTATACTGATGTTCAGCCAACACCTTTCCTTGGATGGGATAATTGAACAGATTCTGTAGGTTTCTTAGTGGAAATATATAACTTCATATAGGGCATTTTTAAGTTAACAGGGTTCCATGATCACCTACCCAGCTGTACTCTTACCCATGAATGAGGAATTTGAGCCAGCTCTTTCACTGTTGAGAGTCCATCCCCTTCTGTATGACATGTTCAGACAGCCTATCCAGAGGCAAGCCACCAGAGTCCAGAGAGGAAGGCAGCTTTTGAAAGGGTTATTTGGAGCAATAAATGATGACAGTCAAGGTTCCATTCCAGAGTAGAAGGCCATAAGGGGTGACCTCTAACAAAATAAAGAGGCTCAAGTAGAGACCTTTTAGTTTCTAGCACAGATGTGCAAAAATATTTATGATGTTTCCTATTTGAATGAACTTTTCCCCAGTACACCAATTTTTTGTTCACAATAATTCCTGGACTCCTAATCTGGCTCAGGCTAACTTTTCTGGCCTCATGTCTACTCTTTCCTTCACTGTATATTATACTTTTGTGACACTAGACTTCTTTTTGTGCCTCAATTACACAAAGCTTCTTCTCAGCTCAAGGCTATTATGTCTATTTTTCCCTCTGCCTGGACTATTCTTCACCCAGGTCTTCCGTGGATTATTTTAGGACACCTTTCAGCTCTCAGCTCAAGTGTCATCCTCAGAGAGGGGCCTTTCCTGATCAGTCTAGCTAAAGTAGCACACTCTACCTAAGACATATTCTATTCCACTACTCTTTAATTATTTGTTTTTAATACTAAATTTAATTGAAATCATCTCACTGGTATTATGTATTTAATATCTTTTTCTTCTAAAATATAAGCACTGTGATATCATGGATTTTATCTATCTTGATCACATTTGTATTTCAGTGCCTAGACTATCGTTTGACATGTAGTATATTACTAAAAGTATTTTTGTTGGATAAACAAAATATATGAACTTTGACTTGCTAAGAGAGGTCTTAGAGATATCAGTCTCTAACAGATTGGCCACATATTTTTTTTTAATTTTTTAAAATTTTTTGTTTATTGTAGTAACATTCATTTATAACAATGTATAAATTTCAGGTGTACAACATTATACTTCTATTTCTGCATAGATTATATCATGTTCACCACCCAAATACTAATTACAACCCATCACCACACACATGTGCCAAATTAACCCTTTTGCCCTCCTTCCTCCCCCCTTCCCCTATGGTAACCACCAATCCAATCTCTGTCTCTATGTGTTTGTTTATTGTTGTTATTATCTACTACTTAATGAGTGAGATCATTCGGTATTTGACTTTCTCACTCTGACTTATTTCACTTTGCACAATACCCTCAATTTCCATCCATGTTGTCACAAATGGCTGGATTTCATCGTTTCTTATGGCTGAGTAGTATTCCGTTGTGCATATATAGCACATCTTCTTTATCCATTTGTCCCTTGATGGATACTTAGGTTGCTTCCTAGTCTTGGCTATTGTGAATAATGCTGCAATGAACACAGGGGTGCATGTATCTTTATGTATTGGTGTTTTCAAGTTCTTTGGATAAACACCCAGCAGCGGAATAGCTGGATCATATGGTAGTTC